CCTTCCCCCTCCTCCTCCTCCTCTTCTGTACCAGGTATCTAGCTCGGGTCTTTGCACTGTGGCGGCACCACTGAGCTAAATCCCTGGCCTGCCTACTCCCTTTCTGAATGCCAGCAATATTAGGATCTCCCCACCGAAGATGGATGGTTCTTAATTCAGGGAAAGTTCCTCCTCCCCACCTTACAGGCCGATGTCATTCTTTAATTCTTTTGTGACACTTTTCATGGAGGCTATGGACCCCTAACCCAATTGCTTGAGCCTCTTCTCTGCTTATCTTCCTGGAAGATCCTCCTCAAAACTATCACTGCTCAAGGCTCTGTTTGTCATGAGACCATCCCTCAAGGCAGCCTGAGGTCCCCTCCTCTCCTTACTCATCAAGTGCAAGGTTTTCCTCCAACTCAGAACTGGCAAATTGATTTCACTCAAATGCCTCTAGTTCGAAAGCTAAGGTACCTACTGATCTGGGTCGATATCTTCACTGGGCAGGTAGAGATATTCCCTACGTACTCAGAAAAGATCTTGGCCATTGTCATCTCTCTCCTATCCAATAATATTCCCTGATTTCACCTTCCCTCCTCCATCCAATCAGACAATGGCCCAGCTTTCATTAGTCAAATAACCCAGGAAGTGTCCAAGTAGCTTGGTGTTCAATAGAAATTCCACACCTTCTATTGGCCTCAATCATCCAGAAAGGTAGAACAGGCTAACAGCCTTCTCAAAGACTATCTACTAGGCTCACACCCTTTCTTCTTAAAGACTAGGTCCTGACTGCTCTCCTTCGACTCCATGCCATTCCCCAGGAACTCATGGGTCCATTTGTGCTTTGGCCACACCTCAGTCAAGAGTATAACCCCAGTGGAGACTATCTCCCCATCCATACACCCATGGATCCCTTGTCACCAATTTTCCACTCATTCAGAGTGCCTCCTCTTGTTTACTTTCACCACTCCTTACAGTGGCTTCTAATAGTCACAAAACATTCTTCCTATAATGGTAAAACAGAACAATAAGTGCCAATCAAATCCCCCTCCAGGGGCCCTTCTAGCCCCGACAAGCATTGCCCTAGCAGATACTGTGGGCATCTGGGAGAAAGAAAACCAAAGGCTCATATATCTCTAACATCCAAAACTTTTTCTGCATACCCAGCAAAGGCCTCCTCAGATCTGCTGTCAAACTGGTGCCCGTCCTCATCCCAAGCCTCAATCAGCCTTACCCCTCTGAGAGGTAGCCAGTATCCAGTGCCCACATCAGGGTTCATGTCTCTTTTTCTATAAATGACCTTGAATGACTAGAACAAAAAATGGGCTCCTAAATTTTCAAATTCTGGCAGAAAGTTTCATTATTACAGGCTCCAAAACCTCTACCCCTGCCTGATTTCCCAAAAAAAGCTTCTCTGACGTGGTTGGTGTTAGGGAATTGATCATGTTAAAGTATGCTGTGACACCGCCATCACAGGCTGCATTTTCCTGGTGCTTCTTGGCTCTTAGAATGACTCCATGCTCTTTTCTTTAGTTTCCCTCCCACCAAGGTCACAGCGAGACAGAGAAGTTGAAACCTGCTTCTGCAGGGCTGAACCCATAAAAGGCAACCTGGCCTGTGATAGGTTAGAAGTAGCCCATTCCTCATGAATAAGCAATAGCCCGGCCCAAAACCAATAAAAGGACTTTCCTTTTGTTCTCTTCTCTTCTCTTCCTCTCTTCTTCTTCCTCCTCTCTCTCTCTC